GGAACTGATTAGATTCATAATATTTAGTTTGTATAAGTATCGTTCGATTTAAAGTTTGTATCTTTTGTATATAAATATATTGTAAGAAAAACCGACTCGTTGAACATTTAAGAAACTCAGTGCATTGCTTTATTGATTTTTATTCATATACAATAATAATAATTTATGGATAATTGTTGTCCCTTTCTTAACAACAAAAAAATTTGAACTACAAAAAGTAACCTATTTTTCTTTAAACAATCTTGTGTAAAATTAATGTGTGAATTCTTTTAAACTTTGCAAAATGTGTATTGTCTACTATGATAGAAATCTTTTTTAAAAATCATGAAATCTCTGTAAATTTTGAATGTGAAAAAGACATTACTAAAATTGGACCCACGAAAATAAGTTCCATAGAATAAACTCAATTCAAAGGTCGTCCTTTAATTCCAATATTTATTTACAACACTCCAAAGTGTAAAAGCTTCTATACATAAAAATATATCAGCATTTTCCCAATTACTCATTTTAAGCTGAAGCTAGAAACAAGCCCGTTGTTGTTCAAATGTGTACAAGAAAGTAGAATTGAGTTAGTAATGTAAAAAGTCAAGGGGTTGCGACACTTCAAAGTCGAACTGGTCTAGAGAATTGATGCATAGCTCTCTGTATCTCTGGATCTGTTGATCTCTTTGTAGTGGAAGAATCTGTCTATTGATGTTTAACTATTAAATTAGTTTGATAAAATAAATTTTCAGAAAAAATGTTGAAAGGCAAGACAGTAGTTCTTGTCTTGTGTATTTGGGTTCATCAGATCTCGGGTGCACCTTTTCTTTATTTTCTTCACTTATTAATTTATTCTGTTTTTGGGATGCACTGCATGCTTTATAATATTATTTTATTTTCGTGTTCTTTACTTGGGTTATATTATTAAATGGAGTGATTTTGAAAAAGAAAGATGATGATTAAAAAATTATATTAATTTGATTAAACTTGTTTAAAACAGAATGTTAACCTTTCTTTATGGATCCAAAAATGCGGGTTGGTTGGGTATTGATTAATTTTCAGGGTCCATAATGCTTTTTATAAAAAATTTAATAATTATTTATGCCCTGGGTGGCCTCTTTTTAATCTATTGTGAACATATCCTGAGACCCATATATTCGATCCCAGCTGACCTGGGGTAAAATTTTCACTATTTTCTTATGGGTTTAAAAGTAAAATATCATCCCAGCTGAGTGCACGTTTCAAAATTTGAAATTTTATTGCTATGAAGTTCCCGCATTCTTTTGAATGATCATCTTCAAGCAACAATATTTGGGATTTTCTTTAATATGTACTTTTTAAAAGTTTAAACTTTATATTTCATCTTATACAATTGACGTGCCATTTTTGTGTATTTATTTATTTTGATAGTGTTAACATTTGAATTCATATTTCTTTATATTTCTTAATATTTTCTAGGGCCTGAAATTATCTAAAACCCTACTGGTGGAATGGGGTCGTAAAGTATTTTCGCCAAAAACATTTCTTTTTCTCGAGGGTTCTCTACTACTCGAACCCTCTCGAAAAAGAAAAGTTTTTGGCTCAAATACTTTATACCTCGCCTCCTATCAACCAGTAGGGTTATAAATAGTTATAATATTTTGGTGAAAATAATTTTATTTAAACTGTCTTTAAATGACTCTAATTCTTACATCATAGTTTGACTTATGAAAATTCTTGACTCGCCAAATTTATTCCCATGCAAAACAAACTCCTGTTAACATTGTGTTATTCTTCCTGTAAAAACAGTTTTATTTGATTTTAAGGAATAAAAATCCAGTTAAAATTTCTTTACAATTTTTACAAGCTAAATAAAAACAACTTTTTTGTCAAGTCATTACTTCCCAAGAATTCACAGACTAAATGATAAAAGTTGAGTTCGGAATTTTTAAGCGGAAGCCTTTCCGAAAACACTAATCTGTATATCCGCTAAACCTCCCGGTCAGAGTAAGATAGCGGAAATGACACGCCAGATTAATACTGATGTACCAATTCATCGCTTCAAATCTTATTAACGATTATGCAAAATTTTGAAAATAACATTTTTGTTGAAACAGCTTTAAAATTCTTAATAAATAGTTGCCCAGATTCTATTGCTCTCTCAGAAAAAAATATAAACTCCAATGTACACGGCACTTTCGATCTAAACCGTATTCTTTCGTTCTTCAAAACAGTGTTGAATTTTGACAATTTCTTCCATTTTATCTGTAGCAAAAGTGCGCAAGTCACAATTACAGAGAAAAACAACTTAAAATAATCAATTTTCATTTGTTCTTGAATCAGCAAACTTTAAAGGGCACCGTAATGAATCGAACATGTCACTTTATCTGACTTTATAATTTATTCAGCAGGAATTCTGGTGAAGATTATTGATGGAGATATTAATGATATATCACAGTGCCACCAGGTACGGTAGTGTACACATAGAGTACAATCACGTGCAGGTTGTACATGTACATGTACAGTCATGTATATATAGCGTCGGGTGAAGGGTATTGTCATGTACATTGGTTTAGTCATTTAGAAGGAAATTCATGTACACGTACAGTCATGTACACTGTACAGGTAAAGTTATAAACAGGTACACTGTACAAGTACTTACATTTACAGATAAAATCATAAACAGGTACAGTCAAGTAGAAATATTTTTATGTACAGGTACTTTCATTTACAGGTAAAATCATGAACAGGTACAGTCATGTACAAGTATTTTTATTACAGGTACTTTCATTTACAGGTAAAATCATGAACAGGTACAGTCATGCACAAGTATTTTTATTACAGGTACTTTCATTTACAGGTAAAATCATGAACAGGTACAGTCATGTACAAGTGTTTTTATGTACAAGTACTTCCATTTAAAGATAAAATCATGTACAGGTACAGTCATGTACAAATATTTTTATGTACACGTACTTACATTAAAAAATGTAGGATTTTGAGCGGAAAAAATCAATAGTAAATTATTGTTTCTAGGAAGGATTAAAGGAATGCTGGAAAGTACAGTTGGATCTGGAACTCCTTGAAGGGCTACAAGTAGATGATATCGTTCAATTATCTTCTACAGGACCTATTTTACTTAAGGTACAGTAGATATTATCGTTCAATTATCTTCTACAGGACCTATTCTACTTTAGGTACGGTAGATATTATCGTTTAATTATCTTCTACAGGAGCTATTCTAAAAAAGGTACAGTAAATGATATTGTTCAATAATCTTTTACAGCACTTATTCTACTAAAGGTACAATAGAAAATATCGTTCAATTGTCTTCTACAGAACCTAGTCTACTAAAGGTACAATAGACAATATCATTCAATTGTCGTCTACAGGACCTATTCTACTAAAGTTACAATAGACAATATCGTTCAATTATCTTCTACAGAACCTATTCTACTAAAAGTACAATAGACAATATCGTTTAATTATCTTCTGTCAAGGACCTATTCTACTAAAGGTACAGTAGGCAATATCGTTCAATTGTCTTCTAGAGGACCTATTCTACTGAAGGTTTAGCAGACAATATCGTTCAATTACCTTCTACAGGACCTATTCTACAAAAGGTACATTAGACAATATCGTTCAATTGGCTTCTAGAAGACCTATTCCACTAAAGGTTCAATAGACAATGTCATAATATCATTCGGTTGTCTTCTACAGGACCATGTTCTATTAAAGTTACAATAGACAATATCATTCAATAACCTTCTACAGGACCAATTCTACGAAAGGTAAAATAGACAATATCGTTATATTATCTTATACGGGACCAGATTCTATTATTGTTAGATGATATTGTTCAATTATCTTCTAGAGGACCTATTCTACTAAAGGTAGATGATATCGTTCAATTATCTTCTACAGAACCTATTTTACCAAAGGTAGGTGATATCGTTCAAATATCTTATTCAGAACCTATAATTCTACTATTTTACCAGAGGTAATACTATTTATAAAGCAGAATATTTTGTAAAGGAATTAAAACTGATTATAGGCAGCCGGCCGTTCAATTAACAGGTACACATGTATTCTCAATCTCAAATGAAGTGCCCTTAAAGACCTTTCCCGGGAATTTTTTAATAATAGAACGGGCAAAGGAATTGAGTCTTTGCAGCAAATCCTAATTTTCTAATACCTATATCTGTACAACCAGATGATGCAAACCGTTGATATTTCAAATTTAGATTATTTGATATAACATAAGTCATAGTTTGAAATATCTAAGGTCTACGACATTGGGTTGAAAAGATATAGGAATTAGAAAATCATAGTTTGTGGCAAAGAATCAATTCCTTTTATCAATTTTCTTGCTTGTCAATAAAGCCATTAGTTGTATTATTGTTTTGTAGCCAATATTTAAAACTGCTCATTTTGAATGTTCACGTTATACTCTCTTTAAAATTCGTAACTATGGTCCTTTATTTCAGTTAAGAGAGAAGCCGTTTGTAGGTTTTTCCACCACGACCTACCAGTTTATAGGGCAGGATGGACAGGACTCGTCTATAACAATTGGGAAAAGACAGGTACAGGATAACCTGTAAAATCGGATTAACAGTCGTCTTTAATTTCTTTTAAATATTGTAACTGAATTGTAACTCTGTAAATGTTACTTGGGACCAAATTTAATGAATTGGAGAGAAGTCGCTAAGCTACCAAAACTGGCTCAAATCTAGAATCACCGATTCAACGAATTAAAAATTCATGCGGATTTGAATTGGTGATTCACGGTTTGAACCGGTGTTGTGTGTGGAGAGCCCACCTTGCATGGATAGCCTATCCCTAGTGTTTACACCCTTTCTACACAATATGATAGGTGTCAAAACCAATGTTTGACGATATCTAATCAAGTTGAAGAAAATTAAAGTATTTTGGATTTCGCAAACACTTAAAAATTATCTACAGGGTGTTTCTCTACAACTGATATTTTTGATTTTCTAAAATTTTATTGAAAAATTCGCAAAACTGTGTTAAAAAATCCGGGAAATTGACTAGCTTGAAGGGACACTTCTGGTCGAAAAAAATCGCTCCAGTCAGAATTCATAGGTCAAATAGCCCTTTTACTGAAGAGTAGAAAATCTGGATTATCCTGGGATATGGAAAACTTTGAATTGAGCTTCAGGTTCGCCAAGCCTTCAGGTTACAGTTATTGCTCAACCTGCTATTGATGAAATGCTTAAAATGATTTTGGAAGAGTTTTCTGTTTCCCTGCAGCCTGCAAAAATCAGAAAGTGTGTCAGCCTCATGTCGAAGAGATCGCGCCAGAGACTGTATATCTCTAAATGGAGCCTGTTTCGACTTCGAGTCACAGCTAAACCAACTCTGAAAAGTTCATATGAATGGCAATATTTCTTAAAACGTAAATGTCCCAATCTAGTTTAACTAATAATATATTTATTGCAAGATTATCGTTTTAATTGAAATATCAGCAAATCAAAAATATCAGTTGTAGAGAAACACCCTGCAGTATGTCGCGATGAAATTATGATTGTTGATAAATTGAAAGAAAGACAACATTTGCAAGAAAAAAATCTTTTTGCGTTTTCCCCCTGATCCATAATACATTTTAGAACTAAAGGAGCTATTATTTATGTAGAATAATGTTTTAAACTTGGTTTATGTCTAAAGGAATTGAGTCTTTCCCACAAATTCAGTTTTTGTAAAACCTATATCTTTGCAACCTTATGGTGTAAGCCTTTGATATTTCAAACTTACATTATTTGACCTAATAGCATTCATAGTTTGAAATTTTAAAGATCTGCGACATGGGGTTGAAACGATAATGAAATTATAAAATCAGAGTTTGTGGCAAAAACTCAATTCCTTTGTGTTGAAATGAACACTATAGGGCCCATGCACTAGACACCTATGGAGAGCCTACCCCGGCGGTGGTAGTGTTAGTTAATTGACCTGAACATTTTCATACATATAAACGTCATAACAGCTGTAATTAGATTATATTTATGAGAAAAAATATGTAATAATAAACAATGTTACATTAGTATCGGACAAACCGATGGCGAACATATAAAGTCCAGAATTATTTACCCGACAACTTAGCCATCAGCACATAAAGTTTGTAAAAATGTTTCCTGGGTGCTGTGATAAATAATGGAGTAAAGGGTTGAATTCACTGTGTTTGGTATAATCAGTATGGGACTGTTTCCTTAGTTCAATCTATTACATCAACAATTCTTGTCTAAATTTTTTAAATTAGTTAAATCACATTTTTGAAAGTTCTGCAGTCAGTATAGTGCTTAATGTTTACAGCCAGTATTCCTATATGAAACACCATTCAAATTAAATCTTATTCCAGACTGGGTTGAGTGTGTACGGTACTATACGCGGCATGGACCGGGTGTACAGTATAGAGTCCTGCGGAAGTGGTTGCAACGTGATGTATTGGCGGGAAGGGGCTTATTTCAACCAGTTCGATGACTAGTTGTACTGTACAAAACCAGTTAGAGAACTCTAGTTTTACCATACAGAAATGAGTTCCAGAACTAGTTGTGAACCAAAGTTCAAGTACCTTACGGCCGGAAATCAGTTTGACTGGTTGTACCGTACAACAACCAGTTCAAGAACTAGTAATACCAATTAGAACCTTTTCAAGAACTAATTGTGCCATATGGAACCTATTTAAGAACTAGTTTTACACGCGTATGGAACCTGTTCAAGAACTAAGCGTACTGTATGGAACATATTTAAGAACTAGTTGTACTGCATGGTATCTGTTTGAGAACTAGTTGTACCATATAGAACCTGTTCAAGAACTAGTTGTACCATACGAAAACCACTCCAAAAAGTAGTTGTATGGTATGGAATCTGTTCAAGACCTAGAATTGTATTGCATGGAATCTGTTTATGAACTAGTTGTACCATATGTAACCTGTTTAAGAACTATTTGTACCATAAAGAACCTGTTCAAGAACTAGTTGTAACATATGTAACCTGTTTAAGAACTATTTGTACCATAAAGAACCTGTTCAAGAACTAGTTGTAACATATGTAACCTGTTCAAGAACTATTTGTACCATATAGAACCTGTTCAAGAAATAGTTGTATCGTATGGAACCTGTTCAAGAACTAGTTGTACTGCATGGAACATGTCTAAGAACTAGTTGTCCCATATGGAACCTGTTCAAGAACTAGTTGTATTGCATGGAACCTGTTTAAATACTAGTTGTACCATATGTAACCTGTTTAAGAACTATTTGTACCATAAAGAACCTGTTCAAGAACTAGTTGTAAAATATGTAACCTGTTTAAGAACTATTTGTACCATAAAGAACCTGTTCAAGAACTAGTTGTAACATATGTAACCTGTTCAAGAACTATTTGTACCATATAGAACCTGTTCAAGAACTAGTTGTATCGTATGGAACCTGTTCAAGAACTAGTTGTACTGCATGGACCATGTCTAAGAACTAGTTGTCCCATATGGAACCTGTTCAAGAACTAGTTGTATTGCATGGAACCTGTTCAAGAACTATTTGTACCATATAGAACCATGTCTAAGAACTAGTTGTCCCATATGGAACCTGTTCAAGAACTAGTTGTATTGCATGGAACCTGTTCAAGAACTATTTGTACCATATAGAACCTGTTCAAGAACTAGTTGTATCGTATGGAACCTGTTCAAGAACTAGTTGTGCCATACGAAAACAAGTACAAAAACTAGTTGTACCAAATGGTAACCATGATTTCAGGACTACTGTACAATGAGTACAATGTGTCATGCTTAAACTTAATCTAAAGATCTTATTCATATTCATTTAGATCTTTTAATATATACTGTATTATAGCATGAAATATATATACAATAAATCTGTGAGTGTATTCATCTACAAGCTAAATACTATAGTTGTTAATATAAATCAGTTGAATTTTGGTCAACTTAAAGGGAGTGTTCGCGAAAAATGAAAGGGGGTATAGGCTTAATGCGATAAAAAAGCGCTTTTGATCGCTAATTTTCTCTGAAAACTGAATATGTTAAATAGTATTTTCTCTGAAAATTGAATATGTTAAATATTGTTTTCTCTGAAAACTGAATATATTAAATAATATTTTCTCTGAAAACTGAATATTTTAAGTAGTATTTTCTCTGAAAACTGAATATGTTAAGTAGTATTTTCTCTGAAAATTGAATATATTAAATAGTATTGTCTCTGAAAAATATGACTTGCGGAATGGTGCTAGAGATAAAATGAAGTTAAGAGTAAAAATTTACCATATTTCTAGATGGAAAAACGACGATATCTTCCTCATAGTTGGTCAAATAGTTGTTTGACGTATAATCAATCAAGCTGTGAATCATCTATTTGAAAAACATGTCATGCATTACATTCACTTCAACAATTAATTCAGAATTAGGCATTTAAAAGAACTCAAGAAAATGAAAATATTAAAAAAATATATACAAAGTTAGAATATAATTGGCGGAAATTATAAAGAAATGAAATGAATAATCCCTATATCTTTGCAACCTGATGGAGTAAACATTTGGCTATATGATCCAACAGAATGCATAGTGTCAAATATCAAAGGTCTACGACATTTGGTTGCAAAGATACAGAGATTATAATTATAAAGTTTGGGCGAAAACGTTTAAATGGGCTACAGACATTCTGAAAGGGAATTTAAATGGGCTACAGACATTCTGAAAGGGAATTTAAATGGGCTACAGACATTCTGAAAGGGATTTTTTTCAGATCGACTAAAACTTCTGAGGGAAAAATCCAACCACGTTGAGAAGTTTTTTGTTCCCGTCTCAAGTATTGACTCAATTCATGAACAAAAAAAGGATTATTTAGACTCAACTCATATTAAGTGGGGAAATTTTATATTGTATACAAACTAACACATTTAAAAACAAATGAACCACAAATGTTCATTTAAACATAAAGCTTAAATTTTGATCATTTTGTTCAACATTAGTTCAAATGAACACATTTTAGAACAAATGAACAAAAATGTTCCTTCTACATCTAAATTTTTGATCAGTTTTCTTCATGTTACAAATTGTCCAAATGAACACATTTTAAAACAAAGGAACAAAAAATTTTTCATTTAAACAAAGGCTTAGCCTGGACATGTTCCAAATTTGTCCAAACGAACACATTTTAGAACAAATGAACAGAATAATGTTCAATTGAACTTATGCTTGAATTAAATTTTTCCACATTTTCTAAGTTCATTAAAGTTTTTTTTCAAATGGAACTAAAATTTCCAAGAAAAATCTAGTCCATTTGAACAATTTTTGTGTGGAAAAGTTCATTTTAACTGAAATTCAATGATACAAAAATTTCTTTCCTATGGAATAATGTTCAATCAAACGGACTACACGTTTAACGGTTTGTTATCAGCTGCCTTTACTCAAATTGAACACTAGTCCAATTCACCTTCAGTCCTATACCGATATAGCGTCAACGTTTGTGGTAAAGATTGAATTCCTTTCGTTTTATTTTCTTTGAAAAGCATATTTTTTTTCATGAAAGGTTTAAACTATGTTTTCTATGAAATAGTTGGCTAAGCTGTGGAATTTCTAGGAGCTAATTTTCTTCCAAGTTGAACTCAAAACTTTATAATGAATCGATGAAACTATGAAATGTTCTGACGGATCACACAATGTTTATTCTAATAAAAAAGTTTTTTTTAATGAAGTTTCAAGTTGATAAATATACAACATTCTTTTTTGAACAATCGACATCATTTCTAGTGACCATCTATTTATAGGTGCAAAAATATCAAAATATCAAATGCCAAATTATGGAGTACAAACGCAGTACGTTTCAATTAGGTCTACAAGCTAGAAATGTAAACAAATCAGAGAAAAATCATTACAACGGATCGTTCATCTCAAAACAGTTTGAATGTCAACGACGAAGAGAAAACAAAGAGGAGAAGATAAGAGATAAAAAAAAAGAGATAAGAGAAGAGAAGAGTAGAGAAGAGAAGAAAAAATAAGAAAAAAGAGATGAAAAAAAGAAGAAAAGAGAAGAGTGGAAAAAAGAAGAGAAGAAAGAAGAAGAGGAAGAAGAAAATAGATTGTGTGAAAGAGAGAGAGCTTGCATTTTACAGACGTTTTATCATAAAAATACATATGTTTATTGTTTAAGAATACCGTAAACTTTAAAATTAACGTTATTGTATAATTGTTATTATATTTTTGAAAAAAAAATATTTTTGCTATTTATAGAGCTAGTATGTAAGATTTACAACGGTACCCCAATCTGAGTAACCATGAGCAAACTTTAAAAGTGTTGAATTCTGACAATTCCTTTAGTGTTTCTATAGAGAATAAATCCGCTTAACACTTATTAGAGAAACAATATTTAACAGTAACACATTTTTTTCTGTAAAAATAATTTGAGATCTAATTCATACTTTATCAAAGTTTGAATTATATCATTTCGTTTAAAACATACTTTTTTACATTAAAAAATCGTAAATTCATATTATAAAGAAAGTCGTGGGTTCAAATAAATATATTTCATATTGTCAAATATCACAGGTTAATTTTAGAAACACTTTCAATGCAATTATAAACAATTTTAACGATGTAAACTGACAGCAATAATCAGACTTGTTGTACATCACAAGATCTGGGGAAAAATTGTAATGGGAGAATTTCAAAATTTATAAAGTTAAAAATTGCAATGATAATTACCGACGCAATGAACTAGATTGTATGTAAATCCATTACATGCAAATATTTTTTTTCTAAACAATTTGTTTTACCAAATTAAGCTATAAGAAAATTGTCTCTTCATAAAAAATCTTAATACTTTAATTTTTGGATTTAGAAATTAAATCAAGCCAATAGTCAAATAAAAGGAAATTTAACCAGTCCAAGAAAAGAGTTAAAATTCGGTGATGGTGATGGACCAAACCTCTGTAGAGTAAAAAAGTAAATATTAGTTCCACATGTATTGAAAATATATTTCGGTCTGGGTTGACCCTCGTCAGTTCTAACGATAAAATAACCATCAAAATCGATAAAAAAAATTTTGAAAATGTAAAAAATCACAAGAAGATAAACAAACAAAAATTTGGGCTGTCAAATGGACATAAGGGAAACGAACTCAGATTATGAGATGGAAATAAGATAATTTGCAAATATTCACTTCTTTTAAAAATAATGGATTTCGTTCGTTCTTAAAACTATCGTTTATTTTCCATCTATTTCTAACCAAACTATAGTTTTTATTTAGATGGTTCGAAAAAACCGATCGTTCAAAATCTTTCGGAATATTTATTTGTTCTAAATCGTTCATATATATATGAACAATCAAGATTGGTTGAACGATTCTAAAGCGTTCGTTTAAGCTTCTTTCGTTCGTTATTTATTTCTCTGAACAATCTTAGTAGTTCGTCCATCGTTCGTTTTTTTTCTGAACTTGGATTTTTGGGGAGATGAACAAATTATCAAATAAGTAAGAAAATATAGATAATGAAATAAGGTAAATTAGTACACTACAATTTCTAACTTTATCCTGATGCATGGCAGTAAATCATTTACGAAGAACAAATTATAATGAAAACGTCATACTAAGGGTATAAGTCACTGAAAAGCGTATATATTCTATCCCCATCTAAGTTTTCAATTTGTTTTTTAGCTTTTAAAAATATTTGATTCCAAACATTTGCAGCATCAAATGCATCAAATGCATTTAAAAACATTTGTGGCTTAAAGGGATTATTTCTTAAAAAATTATTTTTAACCCCAAAAAATTACTATTTGATGCGAGAATTAGTCAAAATCCCATCTCTTCCCTATTTGAAGATCTTTCTCCCTAAATTAAAGAATGTTTTTCGCGATATGGTTTTCAGGGTTTAATTTTTACTGCATTGAAAAAATTTAGGTGGAAAAAATCAGAAAAGTTCAAAAAAGAATTTTAAAACTTTTGATTACAACTTTTCAATTTGTTTTCCCAGAGCATGTGGTAAACAATACCCCTGCTATTTTAACATCACATGGAGAACGCAGAAAAGAAATATTTGTATTATCAAAAATCTTTACATTCAAACAAAAATAATAACAATAAATATAAAACTGGTTTAGATCGTTAAGAGTAAATATGTTGTATATATATGTATATATATATAATGTATATCTATAAAATATTGAACGGGTACGAAGAGAAAGTTGAATAGGTATCACGGGTTCCAAGGGTTTCTTTTACAATAAACTTCACCTTTTGACAAATTGGAAACTACAGTTTTTAAAAATATTTAGTCAAGTTTTTCAATAACATCAATAATTGTACTTAGTGATGATACAGTTTGTACACTTAAATGCACTTAAATTCACCTATTGGTTAAAAAATTCAATTATTTTGCTTGGTGAAACCTTTAAAACTTGTATATAGGAAGACGCATTTACAAGTCAACTTACACTGCACAATTGCAGTGTTTCACGCTCTTGGATTATTTAAAATCATAACTTGAGTCTAATAATCATTTTCCTACTCCGCAGTTTTATTGGTGCCACCATGTACAGGGTGTTCCAATAAACTTGAGAATTGAGACGACTTGAAAGAAAAAATGCCACATGGATTGAAGACAATATAGAAGTCGTCACTTCATTCCCATGTTTATTGGGACACCCTGTATATAATTCTACACTTAAGTTGCTAGATTTACTAAAATTACATTCAAATACTTGAAATCATTAATAATAAATAACACATCTAAACTTGTCATTTTTTTCTTCCTAAATCCATTTTTGAATAATTAGCTGGAGGATTCTAGAGCTTCTTTGTTGCATATTCCTAAAACAGTAGTTTTTTTTTCTTCCCCCGACACAGTATATAAAGTAACAAATTTGATTAGAAAATTTTCGCATAAACTTAATTTAGTTTTATCAATGACTCCTTGTTTTGTGTATTTTGGGTAATATTTTTTTTGTTGGGAGGGAGGGAGGGGGGGGGTTGGCGTAATAGATAGTTTGGCACTTTTTCTCAATACATTTTGTGCAGGCTGTGTTTAGCCCTGACAATTAAGATAGGAGGCTAAAATTTGCTCAGCCTACAATTTTATAGTTCATTCGCTAACCTCTGATTTGACCTTCATGAACTTAAAAAAGGGAAATACCACATTTTAAAATCTAAAACCTAAATCTAAACCTAAACCTAAGCACTGAGAACATTATTTCTAACAATGAAAAGAGAAATGTAATTCGAAAAGTCAACATTTTTCATTTTTGCAAAAATGTTTAACCTGTAAAATATCTCTCGCTATCTTGAGGTCATTTCTTGCTATCAGCAAAGCCTGCACAGCAGGCATCTAAATAAATAATCAAAATATATTTTAATTTAAAATTTGTCTTCTTTCCAGGGGGGCTCAGCAGTCAGCACCCATTTGAGCCTGAGGACTTCATGGAAATTAAAGATGTTACCGATCCAGGGGGGTGTGGGGGGGCCAATAAACAGCTTCTCTTTGTGTACTTGTAAACTTGTAGTTTGAAATCAAAACTTTAATCAAAAAGCTGTCTTTTGTATTGATGTGAAAAAAGATTACCTTAGAATGTCCTTCACTGCATAGTGTATTAATTAATGACAGGTCAACATTTTCATAATAGATTGTCTCTGGTTGTACACTAAACACAAAAATTGCATGGTTTTGTCTTGTTCGAATTCAGAAATTTGAAAAAAGCTGTGCTCATCATAGTCAGGACATTTCCAATATTAGGGGTTTTCAAAAATATGTCTAGAATGCTATTTTAGAAATGTCCTGTCTAAAAGATGTGTTTTCTATGAAATTTCCTATTTATGAAATGTACAATCAATGAATTTACAATTTGGCATTTTATCAAATTCTTGAAAAGCCACAACCGTCTAATCACACAACGGAACCCACAACACGACATTTAGACCATTTTGTGTGTATTTGATGTTGTTATAAAAAGTATTAAAAATAGCTTGAAAGCCAACTTAATAAGTGAAATCAGTTTATGTACCTCTTATACTGTCCATTGGACTATTTAAAATTATAACTTAGAACTAACAGTCGTCTTCCTACTATTTTATGGGTCCTAACTGTTGTAGTTACAGGAAAAGGAATATGCCAAACATATAGTTTTATAAATTTAATAAAAATATTTTCTTACCATCTGTCCAGGGATTCGTCTCCCTGTAATATAAAAATATTCTCATTTTTAATTTCTTAATTTTCGAAGTTTTTGCTTTTTAATTCGAACAGGGAAATAAATTTCAAGGCATTGACAGTAAATTTAGATTTTTTAGATTGAAGTTATTAATTTTTATAAAACTAACTAAATTTGTGCGAAATAATGTACAGCCCTGTATTTCTGATAATCAAAAACGTTTAGAAAGGAATTTAGTATTTGCCTCAAACTCTGATTTTCTAACCCCTATATCTTTTATCTTAGATATCTCAAACTATGAATTTGGTTATAGATCAAATAATCTAATTTTGAAATATCAACGGTTTGCACAACCAGGTTACAAAGATAAAGGGATTAAAAATTTGAGTTTGGGGCAAAGACTTAAATCGTTAATTAAACATTTGCACTTGAAATTGAAAAATGAACCGGAGAAATGTAAACACAAAATTCAATCTAAACCAGGGCCTTCGGCACTATTTGCAATATTAAAAGATAGAACTTTTTGCAATATTCAAAGATAGAAACCTTTTGAAATCAGAACTGCATTCTTCTGAGTTCATTATGAATTTACAATTTTTCCTTCAAATATAATTATAAATATATATCGACACAAATTGTCTCAATAAATTTTTGAATTAAGTTAATTGTGGAAACCGCGAATGAAAAGAAGACAATCTGCAAAAATGTTATTATTTAAACATGAGCGAAAGGTTTGCAATGATAAAGCTGAGATTATTCCGACCAGAAAAGAGCCCTGTTAACTTATCTACGTTATATCCGCTAACCTGAGCGTGTTGAGAGTTTAAAGATGTGTTCTGATATGAATGGAAGTTGTTGAAGTACGGATGCGGAGAAACAGGATCGGAATTGAATCCCTGGGTAGCGGTGAGAGGAGCTGCAGGAGATACAGGATCAGAGTAGGATGGATACGGGGAGAGGGATCGAGAACATGGAGATCTAGGAGAACGAGGTGATCTTGGAGCGTTGATCCTCAGGTTTCCAGGCAGATCAAGCTGGTAAGGATTAGGTTGAGGCAAGGAAGAGTTGAATCCTGGTAGTTGAAGAGTAGAGAGTGTAGAACCACCCGGAGCTAATCTACCTTCAGCATGGATAGGTGCTAGGAAGGAGGGTTGAGATATAGGAATAGGAGAACTAGACGGTAAACTGTAGGAGGTCGGGTACAGAGGGGAGGAGGACGGGTTGGATGAGGAGGATGAGGATGAGGACTGGAGAAGATGAGAAGGTGAAGGGGAGAGGATGAAGGACGATGAGGATGAGGGTCTTGAAGTTGTACATCCAACTGGTGAGTTGTTTTCATAAACTGGGTCAGGTGTTCCACAATCTAGAGAACTTATATTAGTCAGCATTAGTGTTTTGCCAAGGTGATATTAAATTCATGGTATGTTATGTGTGATTTCAAATTTGCATTTTTATCTGATTAAAAATTTAGATTCAGGATCTAGGATCCATAAATCATAACTCTCAACTAATCATACAGGTTTACTCACAACAGATTAATCTTCAGAGACGACTATACAACATTTCTCCAATCTTAATATTAATATTTAAAGATCTTTGAATCAATTTAACTTAAAAAATCATCAAATATTCGATTAAAATACTTGACTTCGGACAGAAAACAAAAAGAGTTTCAGGTCACCACTGAAGCCTCATCCTATTTGGATATCTCTGTAATAAATGGAACCACGTCAAAAGGGAAAAGCTCTTAAATGCTACTTCAAAAACAACCTTGAAGAGTTACTAAAGGGATTGAACTTGAAACAAACCTTGAAGAGTTACTAAAGGGATTGAACTTGAAACAAACCTTGAAGAGTTACTAAAGGGATTGAACTTGAAACGCTGCTTGATGCAAAGTCGTCTTCAACATAAGGATTCACAGCACAGGGTTTCCTATAATTGTTCATATTATTTATCTGATAATATAATCATAAACAACAACAATGGCTTCTGTGATAAACCTTTCTCTGATCAATTGGATAAATTGTGAATATTCTATATAAGTGGCGTTCGGATTTATGCTGCATAAAACAATGAAGGAAAACAGCAGAATTCAACATTTTTTCAAATAGAAAAACGAAGATATCTTGTCCATTGTCAGCTAAATAGAGATTTAAATAAAACCGTTTGGAACTTGTGAATTTCTATAAATAGAGGATCGCTTACGTTTACAATTCATTTAATCATAAAATTACCGTTCTATAGAGAGTAGAAGTGCAGGGGGAGATCGTCTAGGTGGTATAGGGGGTGGGGTAGGTAGAGGAAGCTTACTGGAGGGGGAGGGGGAGTAGATGGGCTGACCAAGGTAAGGGGTAGGACTCAGTATATTGGAACCCTGAGCTGGTTGGTTTAAGATTGCGTTGGTTTTATTAATCCAGTTCTCAACCTTAATAATATTTTTTTAACAGTAGGACTCATTAAATAGTGGATTAGGAAGAAGACGGTTAGCCTGAAGTTGTGATTAAAAATATTGCAATGAACATCAAACACATTGGGCACTGGTACTGTAGAATTAAAGTTTGCACAGGCCCAGGGGTGTAGGATTGATTTTGTGTAGGGGGGGGGGGCAAAAAAATGTGTGCCCCCTCTTTGGCAACATTATGCCCCGCCTTAAAAACCCCAATTTTGAAAAAAATATTGATACCTTTTTTAACTATGTAAACTATTCGATCATATACACACTTCCATATTATAAGTGTCAAAAGTAGGGGGGGGGGCTGGGGAGCCCGCCCCTCCCCTCTCTTACGCCCCTGCACAGGCCAATTTCACTTTATAAGTTAATTTTCATGCTACCGATAAAACTATTTGTTTTATAACAACATCAAATACAGATGAGATTACTTAAATGTCGGCTTCGCAAATATACAATTTTTTAACTGAATGAATAGAAGGATTGTAAGCTAGTAAATGTTGTCCGTTTGGCCAGATTTAAAGTAAAACGTCGAAAAGTCTGCAAAATTCAGCCATGTCGAGGAAAGTTTATTAACATAACCCCTGGAGGCAGAATATTTGAATAAAATACCTTTTTACTGTGATGAATTGAGCGCTCTAGAGCTTGTGCAGATTTTGCTCCGTCCTGCAAACATGGATTCAATATTTTATCCTGTTAAAACATTTTCCACGTCAGGAGTATATGTATACTTTTAAGAATGGGAAAATAAATTTACTAGGATTCATTTGACCAATTTCATAATTGACCAATGATCATTTCACATAGACTCTATGCCTTCCACTTTACAAACGATGATTTTCCGTCATAACTATAAATCAAATGCTGTTTTTATTCACCTACATCATTATAAAGTTTATTTAACAGTTTAAAAAATTCGAAATTGAAATGGATAGTATAGGGAACATACTGTATTAATATACTCTACAGCATATAATTTGTGAACATTTACATGATTTGTACACTTTGAACTCCCTTTCAGGCTGAAAGGGACAGAAAAAATTCATACCGAGAGATTCTTTTAATTCTAATTTTAGTTTAAATCTCAAATTACAGAACAAGTTTCTCTCTCTCTATGATACGACACTTTCAAACAAAAGTTTTGGCCTCTGGGTACTAATATTAACGGAACTAATTCAAATGAACTAATTTCAACTCAGCTACTATGTCAACTCATTAGAACCAGATTTAAATAGTTAAGTCAAATCTAACATTTATAAATATCTATAATTAAAATATAACTACCCTGGATTTACGCATAAATCTAAAAAGCAAACAATCATTACATACCCAGGAGACATAACAGGGTTCACACTTCTAAACTAAAAACATAACAAAACAAAATTAAATTAAATGCAAACTAAATTATTAAAAACATCATAAAATTTATTTCTAATTATGGCTGGGGGTTAGACGTGACACCTATCTACAATCTAGCCAGGGGTAGAAAAATAACATTTGAAATAAATTTAGACCTGAAATTTAAAAAGCAAAAATTAAAAACATTTGATTGAATTTAAATAATCAATCTAGAAACTGTCACATGAGTTGAAAACCATTTATCACCTCACAGGATTAATGAGAACATGATGCTATATTGATATTCAGATAATTACATTGAGACGGTTGTGAATACGACATGCCACTCTATAAATTAAAGGGCAATTAAAATTAGGACTGCAGTCCCTTAAAAATTACAGTTTCAATTATAATAAGTCATGTTTACTAATTACGTATGATGATGGGTAATGGTCTGGTAACTAACAAAACAAAACAAAAAACAAGGAAAAAAGAAAGAAAAAAAACTTTAGAAAAATAAAACAATATTATTTTTAGCCAAACTAGCAAGGAATTGAGCATAAATTCAGAGAACATAAAATATTTAGAAAACATAATTCATGACGGACATAATTCCACATTGAAGGGACTGTAAGCGTAATTTCAAGTGATTCTCCGTGCACAGATGTCAATGCCCGGATTACAAGGGTATCCTTTAAACCTTTATCTGATCCATAATGAGGAAGACATTGTCGTTTTTTAGGTTTTCTAAGAGTTCAATTATGATAATTTCTATGCATGTTTCCTGCAGTATAAATGCGCAAGTCACAGAGAAACCACTAAACATTGATATATAATTCATAATATTTATCAGATAAATCGTTTAGGGGTACCGTTGTGAATTGGACATTGTCATCATTGCATGGAAGGTCACTTAATATTGCAAACAATTTGAGAACTTTGCCCTATTTTCTTTATCAACATCTGGGCAAATTTTAACAGCTTTTTTAAAGTCCTTTTAAATCAGTTATTAAGAGTGAGAAGTTCAACTTTGAAATAAAGAAAATACAAAAATGATTTTTGCTTGAAGAAAGATAAGAAGATAATCAATGGCAAAACCGTTTACCGAATAGCCGACATATTCAAGATCAGAAACTGTTGGTTTATAACCACGACAAATTTGGCTGATAGCAAACATACAGGGTGCCCTAATTAACAAGAGAATCAAGTGAATCTTAATCGTCTTCGATGCACATGAGATTCATTCGTTAATATGATTTATGAAAAATGAAGATAATTCCTCTACTTTTCTCGAATGTGGTTTACCAGCTTAATATGTTAAAAAATTAATTGGATATCAAGAACTCAGCCCACGCCTAATTATATTTAATTGATCCAACACTTTTCAAATGCCTCCTTCCTCTTTTTAAGTTTGAGGGTTACCCCACAACGGATTAGACTTTAGTAGTTCAGAGACGACTGTACGTAATGTATATAGTCTGTTTCCTTTTATTCACGAACTATAAGCTTCTTCCTGTATTTGCCAGATCATTAATTAAACAACTTAAACACCACATTCAAGGCATAAGACTCATTTTAAACTTAGATCGTCATATTTAGGGAGTATTAAGTAATCTTTACAGTCTCATTATTTTTGTGTAACCTTGTACAAATCAGCTGACCACATTCTAGAACGCTTTGGCGTCGTACAATTATATTTTCATGCAAATTTTGTCCTTTACATTTTCAAGCATCGAAGAAGATTTTAATCTCGTCACTCAATTCTTCTTATTAGGAAACCCTGATTAACATTATTTTATTCTTACGTTAGACGAAGAATGGTAACCCTGTATACAATGGATTAAAACATACGTTATCTCTCGATTCAATAAAAATGACAATAGAAATATTCTTTCTTCAAGGGGCTTGTAAACGTGATGACAGAAAACCTTGTATTTTCGAGATTCACAAGAGTACCTATTACATCCTTGGTTAACAACAAGCACTTAAGTGAGGTTTTTTATTTCTGTTCAGGGACGAATCTTGGCAATATCCTCGCATGGATAGTGCTGAAGATATCCACGAGTATGTTTCTTGATTAAGTAACAATTCGATCAATAGACATTTGATGTAAAAGGTACTCTTGTGAATATTGACCGACGACATCTTTATGTGAATCTATCTAAGGGAATGACCGGCTATGTAAGGTAGTTGAACTCAGTATGCAGTGTTGAGGAAAACTTCATTTGAGACATATTAAACTTTTTAAAGATCTGTAAATCCCTAGTTTGACCGCAAATTCTAAGTTCAAAACTCCTACTTTGGAGGTGGATACGTTTTCAGAATTAGTTTTTTTTCAATTAACGACGACAAAAAAATGTAAACAAAGCTGTACAGTGAACTAATTAGTTGTGACGGAACAGGTTGAGAAAATAAAAATTAATCTTATCATCAAAAATAAATAATCTTGTTCAATTATTAGTTTCTATTTTCTCATTATTCTAGTTCTCATTGTTCAGAAACATTTTCTGCAGATTTTCTTGAATTATTATTGAAAAGACGGCATTTAAAGAATTTTAAGAAATCTGCGAATAAATTTAAAGAAAATAAGAAATTCAATATAACGATGAAAACGAAATAATTAATTCTAGCATTGATTTATTGACAAATTTCTTTAGAGAAATATGTTCCCAACTATCTAATTAGATTACTGTATGATTTTTGCTTTATTTTTCGCCGTCGTTATTTAGTAATTTAAAAGAAACCGATTCTAAAAACGTATCCACCCCCAAAGTATATTTTTGAACGTCGAATTTGCGCTCAAACTCAGGATTTACAGATCTTTAAAAAGTTTTATATGTCTCAAATGAATTCTAAATAAGCTTTCAACAACGGTGCATACTCAGTTCAACTACCTTACATAGCCGGTCACTCTCTTTATGAAATAAATGGGACAAAATAAAATATTGCAAAAAAAACTTAATACGCAAGGGTCTATAGTTTAACAAGCCTAGGGACTAGACAAATAAACAAAACATAACAGCTCTATCTAAATTGTTTATGCCAAAACAGACAGTTCTATTAAATTAAAAAGAAAAATTCTAATTCTAATGATAAAACTTAATTATAAAAAACTAACTATTTTAACAGAAATAATGTTACAAATTGACAAAATTGAAGTCGTTGCAAATAAAAGCAGAAAAAACTATGTAATGATCGTGTTGTGGCATCAACAATAAAAAACAAAACCCAAACATGCGGCGATCAATGCTCAATCCTCCGATCCATCCGAGGATCGAAATGTGAATAAAGATCGTCTACCTCTTCTTCTTCTCCGTCCATGTCGGAGCAATCCAGTAGCAAACCTAGTGGACAAATAGAAAATCATTTTCAGTGTCAACAAATAAAAATGACATTTCCATACTTTCTAAAAATTACACTCATCGTGGTGCGTCGTTATTAAAAACAATTTTCCTTTAAATCTAATTATGGCGGGGTTTCTTTCTTCTCATATTTACGCCAAAAATGTTCAGATATCATTATTTCTAAGTTTTGTTTCTTCCATTTTTGTATAAATTGTTTTCAGCTCTGTTTAACCTTTTTAATTGATACTGTTGAAAATGTACATAAATGAGAACGCATGATAATTATAACATGAACCAAGCACACACATTTTATCCAAATAAAACCGGCAATTTAATTGTCAGAATGTATTTTGTTAAAGTCTAATTAGTATTTTATTAAAACATTTTTATTTCTAGAAAGCACCATAAGATCTTTACTCATTTATAGCATTGCGAGCTATCCAAGATTTAAACTGTTGTGGAAAAGATAATTTTCGTAATCTTTGGCTTGGATATCAATCCTGGTAAGGGGTCGGTCCTTCGTTGAAAAAGTTTGAGTGCCAGGATTATGATTTAAATCTGCAGTGGTGTTGCTGTTATCTATACAATTATCACTTTGACGAATGGGATTAACATTATTTCCCGCGGCTTCTCTGGAATTCCCAGTGGTTTGATCTACAGCACTTATTCTGGATGGACATTTATTGCTCCCAGATATTTCTCTAGGGTCGGAATATACCTCTAGATTAGAATCCGGTAAAATCAAGGATATTGACCGGGCATGCACGGACACGTTTCTAAGATTATCCGTGTTCAGTGTTGAACTATTCATTGTCAGAGCAGACAATCCGGTGTTTCGATACCTTTCCGATGTTCTTGGCAGACTAGAACTTCTAACGGAATCCTTTAATTTTCCCGCACCTCTTGTCCGCGTAACGGCCCGGACATTTAAATTTTCGTTCGCGACATTTGTTTCATTAGGATCAGTCTCGGCTGCATATGGCGCATTTTCGTTGTCTGGAAAATCCGCGAAACTCTGTTGCGGCGGAGTTGGCCCCTGAAGTTGGCCAGCTCGGTTGAGTGTACCTGGATTGGTGTTGGCCTGGTGGTGCACTGTAATATGTCGCTTGGGATCGAAGGGATCGACAACTATTTGTTCTGTTCCCTTTATCTCGGCTCGACAGAATGGACATCCTCCACCCCCACCTTCAGAATCCTGAGAACAGAAGAAAATAATTTCCATGGATTTTAATAGCATAAAAATCTTCCGAAAACCTGAGACAGCGACATTTTGGATTTTATATCTTTCCTATATATTTCGAAAATATATCATCGAAAAGGTGTACTGCACATGCATAGTAAGTATAAAAATATTTTTATTAAATCATTCTCAAACCTCATTATTAGAAACATTTATTTTCATGCCAAATTTAGTGCTGGGCAGTGCTCAGAATCTTTTTCATTTTGATGCGGATCCGGATCCAGGTTATCTCTTAAAAATTTACTGTCTTAATTTTTTTTAGCTTATTCTTATGCTAAAACAGAAATCAGGAAATTTTTATAATCTTTGTCTTTTCAATAGTTCATATTTGAATTTTAAGAGTAAATTTTTTTTTTTTGCAGTTTTGGTTGATTTTTGCCTTGGATCTCGTGGATCCGCATATTTTTTCGGATCCGGATCCAGGAAGCCAAAATTTTGTGGATCAAACGGATTCGGATCCTAAGCACTGGTGCTGGGGAAAAAATAACGAGGGACAATATTTAAAAGAAAATATTATTTGATTTGTATAAAGTTACGCCACCCTCTGTAGGCTAAATCCCTCCTACCTGCCAGGCAGTTAAACAAGGAGTACAGAGTAAATGTCCACAGGGTTCTATTCTAATATCTTTACTATTCTCTGCACATATCTTGCACAGCTGGAAGGTTGAACCCATCTCACAGTATAGTTCATATTGCTCTTGTGTAACCTAAAAATAATATTTTTAGAACAAATAGAAAAAGAATTACCACAAAATTTGGCAATTCATATACAGAGCTGAAGTAGAAAATCAAATAATATTTGACAAGTGAAAGTTATATAATTTCATGTTTTCCAACAACACTAAACTCTTGAAATGGAAGACGACATTTAAGAAATATTTTGTGTTTTCAAGTTTGTGAATAACCAAATAGTTTTACCAGTAGCTTAAAACCCGACTTATTAAATGAAATGATCAAAATTGCTGCGTTTCATGTGAATTGGACTATTTCTATCATTAACTATGTCTAAAAATCGTCTTACTATTCCACAGCTTCACTCTGCATAATTATTATTTTTTCAGTAAATAATTATATTTTACCTTAACATGGTCCTCAGGTGTGGCTTGAACTGCCCAGGATAAATCAGGGTTCACACTTCGACCATCAGGATAAAGGTAACTACAATAGGGTTAAAGGATACAGGTATATAGATGTCAACCATTAACATTAAAAACCCCCCCCCCCCCATGTAATGTCGTCTACACCAAACCCTCCTCTCGGCAATACTCCGGCAATTTCTCTGTACTCCGACAAAAAGAAAAAAGGAAAACAGCAACTAGTTAGTGAAAAGTTTTAACCAAGTGAATAATTAGAATCCACAAATAACTTTGAAATCCATAGTAATTCCATTTAAACAACCAGGTGTATATTTGCAGAAGTATTTCCAAATGTTTTAAACTATTCCGTCAAATCCTCGAACCTTATTCAATAATCACTCCTTAATTATCCTGACAGGACAAAATAGTAAGTCATCAAATTAAACATTAAAAAAAACATTTATACATGGACATTTTCTTTACTAAATCTATATTTTTTTAAGGGTTAAAAAAAATATCTGTTTACCTCATTATTTGCAACTTTATGTCTGAGATAAGGAGCCTAATCAAATAATCAACTAATCAAATATTCAACTAATCATAGAGTCAACTAATCAATTATTCAACTAATCAAAGAGTCAACTAATCAAAGAGTCAACTAATCAAAGAGTCAACTAATCAATGAGTCAATTAATCAACGAATCAACTGATCAGCTAATAACTGACGCCCCGCTTAAGTTTCAACAATTGGATGCACATAAACATAGAAGCCAAGAGAAGTAGTCAATTTAAAAAGCTTCTCTTTGCCTACTTGTTAACTTATAATTAAAAAAATCTTGTTAAACATCAAAACTTAACAAAAATAAAAAAGTTGTCGTCATTGTGTTGATATAATCGCCTACCACTGTATAAAAGACAGAATTGAAAATTTAGTTAATGGTTATTCTGTAAATCCACTGAACTCTGTATGGCATTAGAGGCTCAGTATGAGACCAGTGTAATGTTCCTTTGTCATTTGTAAATTTACAACCTATTTGTAAATTGTCATATATACATAAATTGTAATTTGTGTATAATTCATTGGAAATGTAGTTGTTTATGGATTAAAATATACTAGTAAATGAAGGATTTGTAAATTGTAAATTGTAAATTGTTAATGCTTAAGTGTAAAATGACATTATTTTAATATTGAATAAACTAATTAGTAAATTGTAAATTGTAAATAAGCGTCTTCGGACTTTTCGACAGATAACCCCCCGAATAGGAAAATAGATCGTAAGAATCTTTTCATTATAAATTTGTAAACCATGTAATAATTATTTATCATTATTCATTTCATTATTTTTTTAGGAAATAAAGAGTTTTCTGCATTATCGATTTTGATTCGTGGGTTATACCTTGTCTATCTGTTCATCGTCAGAATCTTGTTTCTAAGCGACAACAATAGAATATAAAGTTAAAGGATACAGGTATATGGAATATAAAAGATTAAAGGATACAGGTAGCAAGAATATAAAGTTAAAGGATACAGGTAACAAGAATATAAAGTTAAAGGATACAGGTTGCAAGAATATAAAGTTAAAGGATACAGGTATATAGAATATTAGCTGACAGAAAACAAAGCTGTGGGTGAGGGGGATAATCATTAATCTAACCATGGCATGAAATAATTTTTTTATTTAAACTTACAATCCTTCTCTAAATCCATCCAAAAGGGCCTGACAAAGGCTTTTATTCTGAGGTATTGTTTGAAGAATGTTTCCGTCTGAGGTTACATAACCGATTGCCCACTGTCCTAGTCGGGTACAACTCAATCGGAACACGTAACTGAAACAAAATTATTAATTAATTTTTTAAGGAATTTTTCTATACAAAGGAATTGAGTCTTTGCCACAAACTCTGATTTTCTAATCTCTTAATCTTTACAACCCAATGTCACAGACCTTGGATATTACACTTTAAATTATTGTTGGATTAAATAATCTAAGTTTCGAAAATCAAAGGTTTACACCATCAGGGTGAAAATATATAGAGACTAGAAATTTTGAGTTTGTGGCAAGGACTCAATTCCATTATTTCAACAAATCATTTTGTGGGACCCACCCTATGACGTACTTCGAATCAGCCTTATTCTTGTTTTTAAGTACGAAAAATATGCAGTGTAAATAATATCTCGAAGAATCACTGTACTCCCCCCCCCTCCATCTTTCCCTCTTTTTAAAACATTTTTTTCCACAGATGTTTGGTAATTCCTAAATTGGTGAAAAATTAAGGGTGACAAAACTTGCCTTTTGATGCTTAATTTCAAATTTTTATAAAAATCTATCTCCCTACCTTCCAGGTTTGTTGATATGTCTGTGTAATCTAGCTTTAACCTCGTCATAGGTTAGGAATGCAACGTATCCAGGGTGGGTGACAGCAAGGATCTGCCAGTTTCGGAGCAGGTTACTCCACGGTTGAAACAATCTGGATATATGGATGATGCAAGTTGGGATTTATCATTAACTGTAACTTTTGAAATTTAGGAGTTTTACTCGCAGATTTCTAGATCGCCCTTGGTGGACTTGCGCATTTAGAATATTCAAACATTACAGGCTTAGTCCGTCCACTTATATCAGGAGACATCAGTTCCAAAACTAACACTAGTGTTAGAAATGGGCACAAATTGAAAGACTGGGTTTTTAGGATCCCGACCCATATCGAGAGTAAAAGTCGGTAATTAAAACTATAACCAACATTTTATGAAACATGACGAGGACAACAATTCCCAACTCTTTTTATATTAAAACCCTTAACCGTTTTCCATTTTCGAACATATCCTGAATTTCAATCATATGCATTGTCGCGTTTTCGAGACAAACCCCGCTTTCCCATTTTTGAGTATAATCCTCAATTCAGAACAAAACTAACTTTCATAACTTACAAGATAAATCACTGAAAGTATCAATTATCTTATGAAGACAGAATTAACTGCTAAATTATTTTAAAAATCTATATTTCCCTATTTTATTTGTTATATAAGAGAATAGAGTTGATTTAATTCCCCGAATTCTAAATAAATAATTTCCCGAATTTCTAGTTAAATCTATATTGAAAGAACAAAATAATATTAAATTTTGATTTCTCGATGCTATAATGATTTTTAGATTAAAAAAGAACAGTAGTTTTTTGTTTTCTATTATGTGATATTTTATCGTATCAAAAAATATTTTTTTGGTACGTAAGTGCGTAAATGCTTAAAAATTGACATTGATATGAATTCAAGTTATTATCTCAAAACCAGGATATGTTCCGAAACGCGACATGAGCTGAAATGCGGTATTTGATTAAAAATAGGAATATGTTCGAAAATAAAAACCAACATCATCAAAAACTAATTCTCATACCTTATTATTAGTATAAAGTTGATATTTCCTGTTTCAATAATTAGTTTTAGTCATTTTTAATAAATGAATGGTGTATTTTTGTTCAACTCGGCTTGGATTTAAAGATATATAAGCTTGAAAAGATAACTTTGCGATTTGGCCCATTTCTAAAACTGTTAGAAATGGGCAAGTGTTAGTTTTGGAACTAATATCAAGATTAGAAATTTTGTTCTATAATTTTTTTTTAGTTATAATTGAATTTATAAAAAGACATAGTTTTGATTTCCTTATTTAGCAATAAACTTATAAATGAAAACACCAAATAACACACTCTATTTTTTTATCTTTATCAGATAATTATGGAGTTGGAGGAAAAAGAGATTTTATGATACATTTATAATTAGTTGTTAAGCGCTTTATTTTTTTTAAAATCCGATTCTTAAAAAAGTTCAGGATGAAAAACCAGGACATGGAACGGACTCGACCTTTCCTATGGCCCGTGATTTGATTAAATATGATGAGAAGAGTTAGATATTCACCTTGTAAAAACATCAAACTCAAAATTTGAGATATAATCGTTACAGGTGAGATCGATCGTAGACTTGAGAGCCATCGCCTCTAAACCAGAACTTATACTGTGAACTTCATTCAACGTTAACCTAAAACAATTTAGTGTCAGTGGTATATATTGTCTGCTAATCATTTAACTCTATTTTTAAAAAAATAGTTTTTGGGGGAATTTGTTTGTCAAAATATAATTATGAAAAGTTGAATTTAAATTTTTTTTTTTTAATTTTCAAATTCCGTAACTTCTTCCCAACTTGTAAATCAACATCTTGGTTTTGGCCTAAGTCATCATAAATAAATGAGAATACACATCAGACCATGAAAAATATATTTAACTTAAACTACTCCTATCTTTTTTCGTTGTTGAATGATTCGCGTCATTTGTTTTGTGTCAAATATTTAGAAAACTGTAAGTTCAGGGTGTGTATTTTCTTGAAAAATAATTCGCCCCCTCCCCCCCCGAAGGTTTGTATGGCTGGAAAAATAAATAAAGTATCTGAAAGGATAAAAAAAAAACTTGGCTTTTAGGAAAAAATTCTTTAAATAATTAAAATAGAGGCAAGTTAAACATGGAGTTAAAGGATCGGATTAGAAGAATTTGATCAGAAAGATGGGATTGAAAAAATGGAAATAAATGAATAGGATCAGAAGGATCGGATTGAATGGAATTTAGACGAAAGAATTGGAATGAAGAGATTGATAAAATTAGATTGGAAGAATGGGATTGAATAGATAGCGTTTTAGGATAGAATTGAAAGATAAAGGAATGAAAGAACTGGAAAAATAAAAGACTTCAAAAATAAAAGGATTGGAAGAGTAAAGGACTGAAAGAATAAAGGAGTGGAAGAATAAAGGATTGGAAGAATAAAAGACTTCAAAAATAAAAGGATTGGCAGAGTAAAGGACTGAAAGAATAAAGGATTGGAAGAATAAAGGATCGGAAGAACAAAGGATTGAAAGAATAATGGAGTGAAAGAATAAAGAATTGAAAGAATAAAGGACTGAAAGAATAAAGGAATGGAAGAATAAAGGATTGGAAGAATAAAGGATTGGAAGAAAGTAACTAAAGACCGGAAGGCTTCAACTAAATGAAAAGACGTAATCGGAAAAAGAGAAGAAAAATACTGAAGAAACGAATAATCTTGCATCAATCATGATCTCATATTTCTTATTCATACTCACGTGTTCAGATCTTAAAACGGATAATATCTTAATAGGATTTAATTTTAAAGTTTTTACATGCTAAATTGATATTCTGATCCCTTCAAGAAATTGTGAATTGGTAACAAACCCCGATGGGAGGGAGAATGTATTACTTGGTAAGACTATTTTTACCTAAACATTTTCCAGGGAACAATGGTTCGTTCTCCAAAATTTGATTTCCAGAACTCTGCAGCATCCCCCTTTGTTATCCTAAATATGAATCATACAAGCTTTTCAACCTAGACACTTTTTTGACTGCTTGAAAACAAGTAAAACAAAGTGTTCAGGATTTATTTCATTTAGATACGGATCCAAATCCTGGATCCATCATTTAAAGCACTTGGATCTGAATTCATGAACAGCTAGAAAAGTACAGCTTATCTATTTTACCCAAATTTCCTTTTTTTACGCCATTTTTGTTTCAGCATCTCGATTCACAAATGTGTGATTAGCAAGGTTTCGTTGATCTCTCATCCGTTCACAATTGAAATGTGTTTCCAGGACAAACTTTTGGTTAATATTTGCCACTTGGATCCAGGTCCGTCAATCCGAATACTTGAATATTATCTAATCTGCTGAATATAAACCCTGTATTATTTAATCTCCTGAATATAAACCCTGTATTATCTAATCTGCTGAATATAAACCCTGTATCATCTAATCTGCTGAATATAAACCCTGTGTCATCTAATCTGCTGAATATAAACCCTGTATCATCTAATCTGCTGAATATAAACCCTGTATCATCTAATCTGCTGAATATAAACCCTGTATTATCTAATCCACTGAATATAAACCCTGTATCATCTAATCTGCTGAATATAAACCCTGTATTATCTAATCCGCTGAATATAAACCCTGTATCATCAAATCTACTAAATATAAACCCTATGTGATAATGTGATCTCATGAATATAAACCCTGTATCATCTAATCTGCTGAATATAAACCCCTGTATTATCTAATCTCCTGAATATCAACCTTGTATCATCTAATCCGCTGAATATAAACCCTGTATTACCTAGTCTGCTGAATATAAACCCTGTATTATTTGAACTCCTGAATTTAAACCCTGTATCATCTAATCTCCTGAATATAAACCCTGTATTATCTGATCTCCTGAATATAAACCCTGTATTATCTAATCTCCTGAATGTAAACCCTGTATTATCAAATCTGCTGAATATAAATCCTGTATTATCTAATCTGCTAAATATAAACCCTGTATTATCTAATCTCCTGAATATAAACCCTGTATTATCTAATCTCCTGAATATAAACCCTGTATTATCTAATCTCCAGGGTTACCTGAATGAATCTCCTGAATATAACCCTTGCGGGAAAACTGCCTTGAGCTCGCTCAACATGTGGCTGAACACGAGGCTTAACTTTGTCAGGTTTCTGAACAAAAAAATATCATGATTAGAATATTTAAAGACGTTAAAATTAAAATGCTTCAAAAATCCAAAGAGAATCTTTCCATTTCTCCAGCTTACAAATTCTAAATTTTAACGCGATTTCAGGTGACCCTCTATTAAGGGAGTGGCAAGTTCAATTCACAACGGAACCCTTAGAACCTTTTCAAAATTTGGCTGATCAAGTATGAACTATGTGTTTTTTGTTTTGATTTTGAAAGCTGGTTCTTCGAAAAATGACAATCGCATTTTTGCTTCCAAAACTATCACATTGAAATATTTTTATAAAAAAAAATACCGGTATCTTCCTCATTATTGATCAGATTAGGCATTAAGGTTTCAAGGGTAGGGTACCGTTGGGATATGGGCATGTACCCATCTTTAAAAGGAGTGAAACTATAATCTGAAAAAGTGAGAAAATTTTGTTCATAAAGTTAGTACAATTTCTTAAAGTGCGTTTGGTGCTTGATGCAAATTTACTAAACTATCTATTGAAGCCCCCCTCCCCCCGATATCGTAAGTTACAGTTTTATGGGATTTGTTCGCTAAATCGAGGACACTTGATGATTAATAAAGAAAAACCAGCAAATTTAACTAATAATTAAGAAAAAATGTGAATATTTTATATTTTTCGCCCCAATTGTTCGAAAAAAATATACAACAGGGATAAAACTAACCTGCGGTAGTGAGAATTCTCGTCGAACAACTTCTCCTTCCCCTCCTTGAATAGCTTGATGGCTTGCTTGCACTTCCTCTGAAGGTTCTCCAGGAATATCTTAAAATATTCATTCCCGTTCAATACGTCTAACCGTTCCTGAAATAGTATAACATTAGAACAAAAGTGGACATCAACGATTAGGGGGTCCGTCCTAGTATACGATGTTGGACCCCACCCCCCCTTATATCAATTTTGTACAGGACCTCGATTTAAACTTTCTAATAAAAATAGTATAAATTACAGGTTAGTGTAAGACAATTTCTGGGCCGAGCGCTGCAGCTAACCAATCTAGATATCGAACGCTGCGGCAAGGGGGCAAGGCGTTGCGGCCACACGTCGAATTATATCCATGTTTTGCAAAATTTATAGGTGGGGGCGGGGGAAGTTGGGGTACAAAAATCGTTTCTAAAATATTACCGGTTTGGGTTTTATTACCAATTTTGATCATTTAAACGCAAATTCGTTAAATTCCACCAATTCAGCGAATAACTTGCAGAAAAAATAGGTACGGAGAAAACAAAGGTTTTAGTAAAATACGTTTCCTAGAATCGATTGTAATTCATCATAATCTTCCAGTTAACACTTTTGTAAATAAAATAATTAAAAAATATGACAATCAGAGGTAGGAACGGAGGCAATGAACCGCAATAACTAGATGATCAAGGGACAACTACTGGTACCTTCCTAGAGACCAATTATGGGACCACCCCACCCCACCCCATCCTATCAATTTTTACATGCACCTCATGCACTCTAACGCATTCTTAGATCTTCAAAATATCTATCGGTAAGTTGTGATCCAGATTACAAAGTAAAACATAACGTACAAATATTTTCCTGAGCTAACCTGTTCATATTTAGAATATATTAAGCGTAGATGTTGGTATGTATCAGGTAGAATATCAAGAATGAACGGAGGAGAATTTTTCAAATTCAATTTTGGACTTTGGCACAATTTTACTACTTTGTCCATTAACTTCCATGTTTTTTCTATAGTTCGCCGATTGATCTCTAATCTAGGCGGGGTAACACTAGCTGAAAATGCGCCGTGGAGGCGAGAGAACAGGTACGAAATATTCCGAGACCCCGCCATAGCGCTATTAGCTAGGGGTCTTGACTCTTGACTGAGTGAATGCTATGAGCGCTCTGAATCCCGCAAAGGATTCTCAACTTCTCTAGAGATCGTCTTTGTTGTCAAGGACGTCTTACTGATTGTATTATTACATCCGCCCAACGTTACATACGTCCTACGATACTTCGGACCTACCCTCACCTGGTTTTTCTGCAGCTTCAAGCTGCTGTTGGTCCGATGTACTGTCTGTTTGATACACAAGTCGGATGCACAATTTATTTGTAGGTCGGAATGCACAATTCTTTTATTATGGTCGTATTCGGAAAAAAAGTTAGTGTTCAGCTATAACTTTGTTATTTTGATAAATGTGGTTTGATAAACCCTACTATAGCCCGAAAACCTAAAAATACCAATGTCTGAGGTAATAGGTATACGTAATAGGCATTTTTACGTATAAATACGTATGCTCAACTTTTGGGTAAAGAACTTTCGAATATTTACGTTTAAAAGTTTGATCCAAACCTAAAAATATGTACATTTTCGTAAATTTCATACCAATAAATTTTTCCAAGTTTAGGTTTTTATTTTACGTATTTTTACGTATTCATCATACCAAGCAATTTTTTTAAATGCTTTGATTTCCAGAAACGTATTTTTACGAAGAATACGTATACTTTTTACCAGGTAATTTTTCTAAATTTTCAGGTTATTTTACGTACTTTTTAGGTTTTTTCTTTATCTAAATTTTTTTTTTCGAGTTTTAAAGTTTGATTCAAACCTAAAAATATGTACATTTTCGTAAATTTCATACCAATAAATTTTTCCTAGTTTAGGTTTTTATTTTATGAAATACATTATGTATTATCATACAAAGCAATTTTTTTTAAATGCTTTGATTTCCAGAAACGTATTTTTACGAAAAATTACGTTTACTTTTTACCAGGTAATTTTTCTAAATTTGTAGGTTTTTATTTTACGTATTTTTTAGGTTTTTTCTTAACTTAAAAAATTGTATTTTTTTGGAGTTTAAAAGTTTGATGCAAACCTAAAAATACGTATATTTTCGTAAATATCATACCAAGAAATGTTTCAAAGTTTTAAGGTTTTTATTTTACGTATTTTTTAGGTTTTTTCTTCACTTAAAAAATTGTATTTTTTTTGGAGTTTAAAAGTTTGATGCAAACCTAAAAATACGTATAATTTCGTAAATTTCATACCAAAATCAATATATTCACGAAACCTCAACTGCACAAAAATGTATTTTTAAGTTAGAATTTGAAATTATTTTGTACTCTTTTTAAGAGAATTGTTCTGAAAGAAATTTAATGCAAACATTTTGTTAAATGCAATATTTCAAAATTGCTATCATTTTTGAGTAAATTGATGTTTTCATTAGAATCAATGTCAGTAAGTTGTAAAGTTGGTTAATGAGTGATTTTAAGATGGATTTAGTATAATGAGTCAATAATTGAATAATCATTAGACTTTGTGATATTTCAAGATGCAATACTCAGTAAAATTTGTCAAAAATTTCATTTTAAAACAGTTTAAGAATTCAACACACAAAATATTAAAATATTGAAAAAATGGTTTGAGTTGTGCTTTTTTGAGATGACGCGGCTGGATTTTTTAAAATCTGCAGACTTTAAAGGCCCTAAATATACCATTTAAAAAAGTAGTTTTGCCCGGAAGAGTCAAATGTGGTGGTACGGAAGGGGAAATAGTGGTGGCTCATGGCTGCCGGAAGAGAAAAAAAGCTAATTTGTGATACGGAAGGGGAAATAGTGGTGGCTCATGGCCACCTGCCTTCCCCCGCTCTCTCTGCCGTCAAACATCAAACATTAAGTCTATTGGATGAGGGGGGGAAGGCGACCCGTTACCTCCAACCTGTTGATGACGTCACAAAATGTGATTTGCAGCATGGGTTACCTCTAGGCCGTCCGACCCTCACCCGTTTTGCCTTAAAGCAAAATGTCTTAATTTTTACAGGTAATTATTACGATTCTGAGTTCTTTTTATTCCTTTTAGGCAGCATCATGCAGGCACGACTAATTTTAACTAAAATTTTATAATTTTAAAATGTATATTTTGATGTAAATTTTAATTGGATTTTTAATAGATTAACTCTTTTTATATTATAACATATACTTTTGCTGAATCGCATGCCAAAATGCGAGATTTTATTTAAAAATGACTTGTTCTTTGTGTTCCAAAACTGAGTACAATATCGTGAGCCCGTTTATACTTCAATACATTGATCAAGAGTACATTCCAAAAAAAAACACATTTATCTTATGAATACAAATGCGGGTCAGAAAACATACGGGTAAGTGACGTAAATAGTGCAATGTCGCAAATACGATCTACACTGTTTGATCAGAATTTTTAATACCATTGCTAATTTCAGCGGGGAAATGTGCTACTGTAACAAAACAATATTTTAAGTTTATTGTGTGATAGATGACATGACGTATTTATAACTTAATTAAATTAAGTCTGCACTCATCTTTACTTATCATATACTAATAAAGAAATTTAGCCGAACGGCAAGGGGTGTGCACATACCGCTAATACCGGAGGTCACCTTCCCTCGTCAATGAGAAGCACAGGATCAGTAGATTTTTTCTTGAGGGGGCGGGAGCTTATCCTTAACCAATACCAATTGATTTTACATAAAAATAAATTCTCAAAGAATTGTTAAATTTTTATGCTCCATACAAATCAGGTTTAAGTAAGATTTCGAAAATTCGGGGAAAAAAATCAACCTTTCTTTTGGAGCTCTTTAATATTTGAGAATTAACAAATTCTTATAAAGTTTAAATGCAAATTTAAATAAAGAAGATCGTTAGAAATCAAAACCTAATAGAAAAGCCGTCTTTATTGTGTTGATATAACGCCGACTATTGTCCCGTACCTATTTAATAACCAATTGTCTTTATTGTGTTGATATAACGCCGACTATTGTCCCGTACCTATTTAGTAACCAATTGTCTTTATTGTGTTGGTATAACGCCGACTATTGTCCCGTACCTATTTAGTAACCAATTGTCTTTATTGTGTTGATATAACGCCGACTATTGTCCCGTACCTATTTAGTAACCAATTGTGAAAAGGCAATGATGTTTTCACTTTAAAAAAAATAATCTTCGCAATGATGTTTTCTCTTAAATAAAAAAAAATCTTCAAGTGAACAAAAAGACTTAAGTTTAAATAATTATAGAACATATTTATGAAAACTGTAAAATAATCAATAATCAATTTAGAAGTCAATGGTTATGGGTTTTAATTAATCATTAATGAAAAAAAGGCGTTTCATCAAAATTTGTATTTAAAATCTGATTATTTTGAAACACATGTATATCATGAACTCTACATGTAGAATTAAGAATGATCTGCTGCTCCTCTATTAAATATTTTCTGCACCAATTACATCATCCGTTATCACTCAATCCGTTGCCTGACCTTAAAAAATGTACTTGTAAACTTGTTAATCTTGATAGATATTAGATATTACCCCCTAAGCCCCCCCCCCACAGTAATTTCACAGAGGAGGGGGGGGGGGGTTACCTTATTTAACTATAAAAATCAATAGAGGCCTGTGAGAAAGGTTTGTCTAAAAAAATCATGAAAACATGCGGTTTGCTCGAGAAAATCAAATTTGAACAAAATTATTTAGACAAAAAAAAGCGAAATATTGGCTTTTCGTCGAAAATGCGAATATCACTTAGAACCTGGGCACAATGCAATACAATCGCATACCTCTACCCCCCTCCACCCCTTCCATATTATTATTATTAAACAAAAAATCACCTTTGTAATGAAAGAATTCAGATATTGGATAGACTTCAGCGATATTCCTCGTCCTACGATGATCTGACGATGGCACACGATCATTGCCAATCAATGATGCTTGATTTAACTCAGGCCCTGTACAAAATTAATAATTATTTTTCATTGACAAATTTACCAGAGGGTGTCAAGTATGTAAAAAAATAACTTTAATAATTGATACATTAAAACCACTGTAAGATGATCCAAGGAAATATAAGATATTTTCATTAAATTCTTTTGTCAAGTCTTTTAAATTAACAACATAGAAGTTTGAGAAGTAGTTTAACTAAATACACCTTGTCGAACCACTTCTATGGTGCGCGGCGGTAGTTTAATTTAAATAGCCATACATAATTCAAATACTCTTCCCTGTACATTAAATAACTTTTGTTAAAAAGAAGAGTTAGAAAATAAACTTTTTGTTGAAAAAAGCTAAGTATTTTCCGTATAATATTTTGGAGAGATCATTGTTTCAGATATTCTGGAAATTTCGCACGAGAATCGTTTAAATGATTGAACTGGGAGGAAATTACTTACTATCTGGGAGATGGGAGGGCAGGGGAGGGTTCTCCATTGATGGGAGGGATCTTCTGATTGGGAGGGTGGGCATCCTTTAATAATTGGGAGGGATTAGAGCCTGCAGGTTGGAGACTGAGGGAGGGATTAGAGCCTGCAGGTTGGAGACTGAGGGAGGGCTCTCCTAATTTGCTGAGGTTCGAACGAAACTGTTTTTAAGGGAGGGCTTCGAACTGTGAGGGCTCCCAACTGCGTTTTTACACTTGAAGGGCTTCCAAGTGATTACAAAACTTGGGAGGGCTTCTAACTGTTTCAGACTTGGGAGGGCTCCTTTCTGGGCTTAAGCGCTTGGAGGGCTCATTGGTTATTAAGTTCACTTTTAAAGAGACTCTTTCCATTTTTAGTTCTGGGTGGGACTGATGGGAAACAGCACGAGGGCAGGGGGTTCCAAATCTTTTTACTTTTTGTATTATCTGAAAAAGAATCAACATTCGTATGAACAAGAGAAAAAGGGAAATATAAGTTCAACCTCAACTATACACAACTTGGTTGAGGTTACAAGATATATAATGATTAAAATTTTAATATTAGAATTCCAAAGTTTGCGATGAACATCAGAACATATTCTTAATGACACGTTGATTGATGCTTTTTAAACAAACTAAATGGAAACGCAGAGATATCAAATTGATTACAATATTATGGAATATAGAAGAGTTTCAGGGTTTTATCCATCCGAGGGATTTATGCCCGTTATGATATATTGGGAGACCCCAAAGAGGCCTCTAGGAGGTTTAGGTACCCCACATGGTATTTGGAACCCTTAGGGGGTCTCGAGGGGGAGTTAGTACCCGACATGATAAATGAGTCTCAGGGGGTATTTAGTACCCGACAAATCCCGATGAATGCTCTCGAACACTCTGCTGAAGAAGGTACTGCGCAGTTTGAATAGCTTCAGGATCACCTGCAACAAAACATTTGTAGATTTAATGAAATTTTTAAGAGAAAAATGAAGATATTTCCCCACGACATTGCTAGAAAACAACATGCATCTTTCTGTAATACCAGACTAATAAGATAATGAGCAAAAATTAATTCACTATCATAAAATATCATATGATTTTGATAAAAATATAAGTGCAAGATTTTAATAGGATAAATAAATATACCTGCAATAGTGATAACTCTTTCCTTAGATCCACCCACAGGTTCAGCTATTGTGATAGTGGCCTGGAAAAAAATCAAATATTGAAATATTGGAATATTATTAATTTAGTATTGATTTTTCAAACACAGGGGGGAGGGGGTCTTTCAGCTTCTAAGCCAGTTAACTGACACCAAAAATAATTTTTGCGGGACGGAAACGATGCTGTTACGGTTAAAAAAAAGTACAATTGCAAATGTTCCCCCCCCCCCAAAAAAAAGGTTTAGTACGGGTTAAAAGTTTCGTAGATTGAGTCGACACCGGGTTTGGAATAGGGCAGAGATAAAAATCAAAAAGAGGGATTCCCCCTACCCCCCTCTAAAAAGAGGGATTCCCCCTACCCCCCTCTAAAAAGTTTTCCGAAGTCTGCACTTTAGTCTTGTAAATCTCGCAAAAAATATTGATAAATTTAATTTCTCTTCCTTGCTCCCACGCGGTCATACCCTGTAGAAATAGGAAAGATCCTCAAATTATAAGTGCTCAAACTGGATATCGATATCAAACGTTCAGGATCGACGATACTCCACACAGAAGTTCAGATCTCTGGATGAATGATTGATCTTTTTTTTACCTTTGAATCGTTTCTTATTTTTCTTATTCTCTGTCCACCAGGTCCAATAATTGCACCAGCCATCTCGTTGGGTATAGTAACCTAGGTAAAAGAATCATATCATTTTAAACCAGTAGGATAAAAGCAGGGATTGAGAAGGATCCACTGGATCCGCAATCCGCAAAATATTTGGATTCAAAGAACTGTCAAAATAAGAAAAAAAAAGACAAATTTTGCTTTAAAACACAATTTTGTGTCAATTAATGAGAGACCATAAATATCTTTCTGATCAATGAATTGTGAATCAATTGCGTGGGGGAAATAAATGTGACCGGTCTTTCTCAAATGGACCAAATGTCGTCTTTGGCAAAGTGTAGAAATCCACGAGTTCCTTCATCAAAAAGCATTAGGCTAATATCACAAATTTATACAATTGAAACTAAAAATCTACATCATCCTCAGTTGTTAGACCAAAGACTTGATGCAAACCACTGTGAATCATTGATTTAAGGGGTTAAGACAGAAATTATGTTAAATGTTTTAATATAGCAAACTCAACACAGTTGTATTTTGTATAGAATTCAGTTCTGATTTACCCCAAACCTCTATAATCTATAGTGAACACTCCCTTAATATATCTGGTTAACACTCTCTTTATCTCTTTATTTATCTGGTTAATAGTTTACCTGCGTAGATTCAGCTTCAGAAGCAGAGAACTCCAGTTCAGCTCCAGTTCCTGCGGCAGTTGCCGCCATTCCGTTTCCACCCATTCCGAATCCGCCGCCCCACTCATCCTCGCCGTATCCTCCGTATGGACCAGGAGCGTATGGAGGACCCGCAGGAGCTCCGAACCCACCTCGGCCTCGTCCTAATCCGTATCCTCCGTATCCATCATCTACATATCCGGGAGCACCAAACCCTCCGCCAAATCCTGCTCTGGGTCCGCCCATTGTACCACCGCGCATTCCCATGGGTCCACCTCGGAGTGGACCTCCTCTTGGCGCTCCACGTCCGCCTCGACCACCGCCCATTGCTTTACGTCCATCGGCTCCCCCGCCGAACCCGCCGTACTCACTGGCGAAAAATGCATCAAAGTTAATGGGATCATAGATGGCTTCACCTCCCTACAAGAAAATTATCATTTCTCAATTTTTGTTGGAAAAAATATTAATAAGATATTTACCTTAATCTCAGTGTTCTGAACCACGTCGTAAACTTCTCTTGCTGCCAATACTAGCTTCTCTAGTGTACCGTTCGCCTAAATATAATCGATTATTGTAGCGGTGTTTATTTTTAAGAATTACACCCACAAAACAATAAAAATTTGACATCAAAACGCAAGTTTCTTTCTCATTATTTTTAATAGTTTAACCCGAAAAATCATTAAACCCCTAAAAAATAAGAAAAAAAAATGGTTTCAGAAGTCGGGGGTGGGGGGATTAGTTTAAGAAAATATATCCCCTGCGCCTGCAGTTTGTTATATCCCGTTTAATTTTACACCAAAATCGTCTATATTTCCCTGAACTTATTCACCGCTTATCTATGGTTACAAGAACAAAAATATATTATGATAAAATGTTGTTGTTAGAGTGCATAAAGAACGAAAGTTCTGAATCGCCGATTGACAAACATTTTGTACATTATTTTTGGAGCGGGNAATCAAGCATGCAAACAGGTTTCTATTTTGAAGATTTAATTATTATATTCTCTTTCCACCCCCCACCCCCTCCCCATGAAAATGTCCAGTATAAACTGTACAATAGTTTAAAGCCCTGTTTACCTGGACACATCTATCCGTGGACTGAGGAGCTGGGTTCTGGAAAACCTTGACGTTAGCTCCAGATGTATTCCTGATCTCCTTAATCTTCTCTCCACCCTTACCGATAATACCACCCACAGCAGACTGATGTATCAGAAACCTCAACTCTCTACAATATAATCAAATCAGTAATATTTACAACAACAGATTACAAAGATAGGAGAAACCCATTAGGTTCCAACCCCCCCCCCCCCCCCCCCCCCACCACTTACATTATTTCATTAGGAATGTTGGCGAGTTTTTTTTGGGCTGAATTGGAGAATGAATAGTTCAGGGAAGATAATGTTATTTTGGAAAAGGGTTAGGGTTAGTTTGACCAATTTGAATACATTTGTGACTCCTGTCTTCATTTTTGGAGGAATCTGAATGCAATTTTGCATATGGGCAAAATTTGTGCTTCTTTTAAAAAAAAAATTTAAAAAATTTGTAAAATATTTTTTCCTTCTTTTCCTCCATTTTTTCATTTTTTTAAAAGCTTTTTCACCACAAAGTCTGATTCAAACACCAGCTAGGTGTTTTAAACGCCTACTTGTTATTCAAGAATCTCAATAGTACTATTAGAATGAAGTTTAAGGATTTTAATATCACTTTGCCCCTATTTTATTATATTTTCCCATTTTGTTTTATATTTTCAGATTTTCTGGATTCATAAATTCATTTTTTATCGAAAATTAAAAATCTTTTTGCACACAGACCTCAATTGGATACTATTTAAAAAAGCAACAAAAAAAGTGGGGGGAAATTATTTCATTCAGATTCCTCAAAAAATGAAGACAGGAGTCACAAATCTATTCAAATTGGTCAAACTAACCCTACCCTTTGCTGAATGGGGGAAAACTGGACAACTACCGATAGATTAGTATTCCAGATTTATTAAAATCCTCAGCGAACTAAAAAATCAACCCTATCTTGAATTATTTAAAATAAAAGAAGAAACGAACGGAAGAAAAAATATTTGCAATAAAGAAGAGTACTATCTTAACAATTCACTTACTTCTCCTGGCCGTCATCTTCTCCATTTGGGCACTCGTAGAGGTAGGGAATAGAACTAGAGAGACAGTTGTATACACTCTCCCAATCCTCACCTAGACATACAGGGGGATATAGAGGGATAAAGAGGGATACAGAGGGATACAGAGGGATAAAGAGGGATACAGAGGGATACAGAGGGATATAGAGAGATATAGAGAGATATAGAGGAATATAGAGGGATATAGAGGGATACAGAGGGATACAGAGGGATAAAGAGGGATAAAGAGGGATATAGAGGGATACAGAGGGATACAGAGGGATACAGAGGGATACAGAGGGATACAGAGGGATACAGAGGGATACCGAGGGATATAGAGGGATTACAGAGGGATACAGAGGGATACAGAGGGATACAGAGGGATACAGAGGGATACAGAGGGATACAGAGGGATACCGAGGGATATAGAGGGATACAGAGGGATACAGAGGGATACAGAGGGATATAGAGGGATACAGAGGGATACAGAGGGATACAGAGGGATACAGAGGGATACAGAGGGATACAGAGGGATATAGAGGGATACAGAGGGATATAGAAGGATATAGAGGGATACAGAGGGATACAGAGGGATATAGAGGGATATAGAGGGATACAGAGGGATATAGAGGGATAGAGGGATACAGAGGGATACAGAGGGATACAGTTGGATACAGAGGGATACAAAGGGATACAGAGGGAGGGTTACATATCTATTGTGCAGTGGTACAGTCCCGACCAGGGATTACTATCCAAGGAAAACATAAATCCAAAAATTTAAATGTTAAACCTGATCCGAAACGATGAACTATTAACTATGTATAAAAACAAATGAGGAATGAAGGGAAACTGTATTCTGTACCTGTAATCTCGAGAATCCTTTCCGGCCCAGGGCAGTCGGGAATACGGACCTGATAAAAAAATTAAAATCTAGTAATCGGGTTCATCTCTATTTTATCATTTATTCCAAAATATGTAGGTTCAAAAAAAACAATTTAAATATTCCTTCAAATCTAAATTTTCTTTTAGATTTGAAGGAACATTGTTTTATGATGCAAAATTCTCTCTGAAACAAAAAAGGGACTGTATCTGTAATTTCAACTGGCATACATTTGAAAATTAATGACTTTCAATCTAGTGTCTCTGGAACTATGACTTTCGAATTTTTTGTAGCAGAGACATAGACACATTCAGCTTTGTAATACTAAGAAAACGACAGAATCTTCCTCATTTTCGCTAAGATGTTCGAGAGGGACCGTTTCGAATCGGACACAGCTTCTTTGGAGTATATTTTCACTATTGCCGTCCACATTCCACAAAGCTGATTTATATGATTCTAAGGTCAAAAATCTTACATTACAGTTGAAGGAGGTTCTGAGGTTTTGAATGTTGTGTCCTCCCTTACCAATTAGAGATCCGGCCATCTAAAGAAAATAATAATTTAGAGATAAGTCAATTAAGATGTATAATAATTTAGTGATTTAGAGATTCAGCCATCTAAGTAATAATAATTTTTTAAATAAATCATCTAACATGTATAATAATTTAGTGACTAAGAGATCCAGCCATCTAAGTAATAAATTTTTTTAAATAAATCATCTAAAATGTATAATAACTTAGTGACTAAGATATCTAGCCATAGATAAATAACAATTTAGAGATAAGTCATCTAACATGTATAATAATTTAGTGATTTAGAGATTCAGCCATCTAATCTAAGGAATAATAATTTTTTAAATAAATCTTCTAACATGTATAATAATTTTGTGACTAAGAGATCCAGCCATAGAGTAAATAACAATTTAGAGATTAGTCATTTGACGTGTGTAATAGTTTAGTGATTAAGAGATCTAGCCATAGATAAATAACAATTTAGAGATTAGTCATTTGACATGTGTAATGATTTAGTGACTAAGAGATCTAGCCATAGAGCAAATAAAAATTTAGAGATTTGTCATTTGACGCGTGTTATAATAAAGTGATTAAAAATTCCAGTCATCTATAGTAATAATAATTTTAAGATGAGTCATAACATGTATAATAATTTAGTGTTTAACAGATCCAGCCATATTTAAGTGCGGATCCAGCCATATTTAAGTGCGGATTTAGACATGAAAATCAAGCCTTAAAAATTAATGTAATTAAGATCAAATTAACGCCATCTCATGCAAATATAGATTCACAGAACGATAAGAAATGGATTTCTTCAGTTTGATAAGAAAAATTATGAAAAACGATGCTTGATCCATATTTCTTGTTATACATTTTCAACGTTTATTGAGTGACCCGTTCAAAAAAACACTAATATTATAATCGAGAAAATAATAATAAGTGTGGATTCAGATATGAAAATCAAGTCTTAAAGTAATAGTAATTGCAATGATAAGCTATGTATCCGTCTTCTTATAAAAAATGATTATCGAACACTGTTTTTAAAAATATGAATTCTATTGCAGAAGATTTCAATATCTCAATCCGTCCAAACATTATGTTAACCAAAATTTAACTTAATCTATGATACCTTTAGATACTGGATAGCAATAGGAAAATACCACTTATTTGTGAATTGTTTGATGTAAGATCTAATATAATTTCTATTGACAATTTTGATATTAAGAATTAAATAAAAATTTGTTTTGTTTTTTATAGAACATTTTACAGTTACAAATGATAATATATTTATGATTTTTCATTCTTTTGATGTTAAAATGTGTATGTACTGTACACATCTTTGCTTGCATCTTTTGTACCTTTAACGAAATAAACTTAACTAATAATAAGATTAAATGAAAACCCCCAAGCCCCCCCCCCCCTCTATTTGGGAGAATAACACAAATAACATCCTGTGAAAATAAAACAGATTCAAGTATGAGTTTGATGCATAGATCACCATCCAGACACAGGACAGAGAATGATATGCTTCAGTTTATCGTTTAAAATTTTGAATTAGAATATTGTGCACAAAGTAAGGAAAAAGAACAAATAAATGGAAGGAAAAAGGTCATGATTTTCCTATAAAGTTCTCTAAGTTCGGGTTTGTTAAATCGTGTTTAAGCGTGAAGAAGAGCGGATCACCCTGGAATGTGAAGTTCAATGCAAGGTTTCTTATCGATGTTATAATATCAAATATACACTCCTTGATATTTGGTCAGTAAGCCTAATTTTTACCTTTGAGGGAACCATAATTCTCATTCCTATTTTACCGCCGAAACCGCCCTTTGCTCTCTTACCGCCACCTCCGCCATTGTAGTCAAAATCCCCGCCGCGCTTATTCATCATTATATATCTGTAACTTTAGTTAAATAATACTTAATAGAGAGAAAATTACTATGACAAGAATAAAACAATATTTAATCATGAAAATAATTATTTAAGCACTGGTATAAAAGAATATGTACTCAATGAATAACTAAATCAAAAACACCATCCATAAAGTAAAGTACATAATAAAGTGAGTGTAAATTTTACATACTTGACAGATTGGATACATTAATATGACCGATTCACAAGGGTACCATTTTCAGTCTGTCTGATCATGTTTGGATGAGAACCTTTATTTTACAGCTGAAAATTGAAAATTTTCCATTTTAATTCTCTGCAAAAATAATTTGCGGATTTTTGCTGCACAGACGATGAAGCATATCATCAGAATAATACTTTTTAATATGGAAAAACGACAATATCTTGGAAACTATTTCTCAGATAAAGGGAACCTTTGTGTTATCACTTAATTTACGAATTACGCAAACCGTCCCTTTAGAAGGAAAAAGATCCATAATTTCTAGCCGTGATTTTGTATCTCATGAATAAAACTGACGAAACTTTTTTAATCTTTAACCATCTGAATGGCAGTCTCAATCATCTGTTCAGCATTTGTAGTTTTCTCCAACCAGTCTCTGGGTATACCCGCCAATCCGTCCCGAGCACCGAGCATAGCTCCGATAAAGAACGCCCTGGAACAGTTGCAGCCTCCGGCCTTTATTGTCTTCCTTACAGCGTCCTCGAATGTATCCGAGGTTCTGACAGCATGGATGGCTCCGAGAAAGGATCCTGAGCGAGGACAATTCATATTAATAGGAACGAAACATTTAATAAAATTTTATCAAGTATTGTATTTAAGTAAAAACTTGTATCTCATTGGTAAATAAACTGGAGTTGAATAATAAAACTTGTAAGCCATTCAAACTAATCCGGTGGTGCATATTTTTCAGAATTACCCTCCGGAGGTCAATGATTTTTGATGACTAGGGAAAAAATTTAAAATTTTACATCAAAAGACAACTATTTTCATTCTTTTTAATATTTTTTTTTCTTTCCCCCCTAAAATCTTTTATTTTTACCAATTCAACTGACGAGACCCTAAAAACATATATGTTGTTGGGTTTTGAAAGTTGTCTAAATACTATAAAGATAGATAAAATCAACTTTTAACATAATAATTAGTTTTCGTTAGAAAATTTCAGAGAAAACCCCTTGAAATGGACACGACTGAACGAAAAACACCGTAGTAAAAATCAAACCATTAATTTCATTGAATTTGAAGGCAATCCAAAATTTAAAAATCGAAGTCCTTGAGAACTGTTTTCAGAATTATTGAATATAAATTGCCTGGGTTGTAGCACGGTCTTCCAAAAACATAACCCACAGCTTCAGTGTGGGGGGTAGAAAGTAAACTATCCACGGTGTTCAGCTCTTTGTAGATTTCAGGAAAATCTCCTTTAATCGCCTCTCGTACTCCTTGTATTGGATCTGGGGATCCTAAAACAAATCCTTCAACTATTTTAGAGGCGACAAGAGCGTGTTTGAAGGCAACTGGCCAGGTCGACTGAGTAGTGGCGATTTTAAGAACTTTATCCATCAAACCCGACTCGCCGGCAAACTTGACAACCACGGGTAGAGCACAGCAAAACCCATCAGTTTCCTTGACGTGGGGATCTCCGTACATATCCTTGTTCCCCTTCAAACTCTTACGATTCTCAAAAAATTTGATCATAGAGCCGTGAAGCCATTTTCCTACAATAGGACCTTGAACTTTCCCATACCGTCTTAACTCCATGTACTCCTCTCGTCTTTGCATATCATAGGGTGAGTTAGGTCCAAGCTGTTTCTCAAACTCGTCGCAGATATTTTTAAAATCAAACTTTCGAGTATTATTTAAACTTGTCATGACCGCGAAGGCCTCGTCGAAATAACAGCTGGTCTCCCCTGTGGGGAGGGTGTAGAATGGGGATACACTTTGAGGCCAGAACTCGGGAGTTTCTGGGGAGCTTGATATAGCGGCCTCGAGTTCTCCAAGGTCGTAAACCCAATGTAGAGGTCGGGCAGCAGCATCTGCGACACCAGCACCTTAATAAATCGAAGTGTAATCTACCAATAAGAATGCGTATGTTTGGACATGATGGCTCATGAAGAGTAAATTGCTCCTTGTTTATTTTATTTTCATTTTAATACCCACAGAAAATATTCCGTCAACTTGATTTGATGTATTTTAATCATAAATCAATAATATTTTATTTATGTAGGGTTAGGTTAAGCAAGGATAATAACTCTTAATTTATAAATTTTTGGCTTTGATACTGAGATTGCGAGGACGCTTCGTCAAAAATTATGTCAGAAGTAATAGTTCTTTTTGAAACCAACTTTTTATAAAGGAAATTCTAGAAGTTAAATAATTGAATAACCCTGCGACGAGAAAGTGACACATGAAAAGTCAAAATTTCAGTGATCTAGCTTACATTTAGTTCACAGGACTAAAAAGAGGTACCTACGTCCTGAATCACATATTTCGGGCCCTCGCATTCAACACATTATTTTGTGAAATACTTAATCAAATAATGTAGGAAATTAATTGTTTAGGTTTAACGACCCTCTAGGTATTGCTCTTTGGCTGGTAGGAGATGCGGGAAAAACCGACTGGGAGGGGGAGGGGGGTGGAGAAGTTCAAATGCATGTTGTAAGAAAAAACAACCAATAATTAAATAAATGGGCGATAAAAAATGAAAGTCTGTCCTAGGAGGGGAAAGGGGGTGGNAGGGGTGGGGGGGTCCAAAAATCGTATACTAGGAAATTACCCTTGATTTGGTTTGATTAAATTTTAGATATACCTACTAAACATCCAACTTTTCTCTGATTCACTTCGGACAGAAGAAGAGCTTGGTCTAACAAACTAGCAAGGCGAGATTTCATTTTTAGAGTTTGATAAAACTAGAACTTCTTATACTAAGCTAAATTTAACTAAGCAACCCCGCACAGAGTTGTAGATAAAGAATTTACATAATAGTTATTCATTGAGTAATACTCAGTTCTCCCAGTATTTAAGTAATTATTAAAGATTATTTTTTATGCAACCAACAACATTGAAAAATTGTTTAATGGCGGCAGCCGGCTGATAAGATTTGTAGAGATTTACAACCGGTTTTGGATACTCTAGGGACCCTTAGTAAAAATATTTTTTGGAGTGCTTTTCACTAATTCAAAATAATATTGCTAAAACTTTTAAATATGTTCTTCATTATTCATGGTTAATCAAAAAAAAAAAGTTTTTTCCTGGGGTACCCAAATTTTTAAAAAGACGACATTGTAAGATGGGTTTAAATAGTCGTTATACATATGATAAGGATTAGTGAACAAATAATTCTCATATTGAACCTAGAAACGAGATACATATATTTCAGAGGCGTATACAGGGGGCAGGGTATGGGCTCATTCCTACCTAGGATCAGTAAAACATATGGTTTACAGAGAGGTTTCAGGTCCAAACGGGTGCCGCGCTGCCGAGTTGGAACATACAAATGTACACCCTTGACAAATATCTGACGCCCCTCCGGAGGGCCTCACTCTCCGCTAAAAGTAAAAACCCATTATTTTTCGGTCCGTGACTGCAGAGCACCCCAGAGGCGCAACTAGGGGGGGGTGGCCGGGCGCACGCCCTCCTCTAGCACCTGAGAGGGGGGCGCGCCC